CCTGGGTTCAGGCAATTCTCCTGCCTCAGCCTCCTGAGTAGCTGGGATTACAGGCACGCGCCACCATGCCCAGCTAATTTTTTGTATTTTTAGTAGAGACGGGGTTTCACCGTGTTGACCAGGATGGTCTCGATCTCTTGACCTCGTGATCCACCCGCCTCGGCCTCCCAAAGTGCTGGGATTACAGGCTTGAGCCACCGCGCCCGGCCAACCTGATTTATTTGACCTACTTAATGCTGCTTACTTCTAGCAATATAAAGGTAATGCAAAAGACATTTTGGTAAATTTTAGATGGATAATGTAGTAGGTGACTGTATTTTGTATGATTAAAAGAATAAAATAGATCACATTAGCACTAATGACTAAATTAGATGATGATGATGATGATGATGATGATTTTTTTTTTTTTTGAGACGGAGTTTTCACTCATGTTACCCAGGCTGGAGTGCAATGGCGCGATCTCGGCTCACCGCAACCTCCGCCTCCTGGGTTCAGGCAATTCTCCTGCCTCAGCCTCCTGAGTAGCTGGGATTACAGGCACGCACCACCATGCCCAGCTAATTTTTTTATATTTTTTTTTTTTAGTAGAGACGGGGTTTCACCATGTTGACCAGGATGGTCTCGATCTCTTGACCTCGTGATCCACCCGCCTCGGCCTCCCAAAGTGCTGGGATTACAGGCTTGAGCCACTGCGCCCGGCCCTAAATTAGATTATTAGGAGCCAAGGACATCTAAGTTATTTTTTGAAATAACTTACATTTTTCTAAGTTAGAAAAGTATAACTTAGAAAAGATATAGTCATTCTTTTCCCTCCGTGATGTAAAAGATTACTTTTTAGCTTTTTAGTTAGCCTTATTTATTATGTTTATGTATTTACTGATTAAATATATATATATAACATTTTTAGTTTCACTGGAAACATTTCACGGTGTGATACAGGCTGCAAGGTAAAGAACAGAATACAGTGGGGTTAATTAAACTGTAAGGATTTTGGGTGAGTAGTCTGGCCTAATAGAACTGAGTATGAGAAGCATGGTTTCCATATTTATCTTCTGTCACTTGGCAGTTGTGTGATTGTAGGAAAGACATTTAACCTTTCCTGGTCTTTCTCTCTGTCTATGCAACAGGATGTTAATTCTGATCTTAAAGAGATGTTGTGAAGAGCAGTACTGTTGTTCATTCAGCAAATAGCAGTGAAGGGCTTCTAGGTGCCAGACAAGTGCCAGCACTAAAGTTCTAGCAGTGAACAAGCCTGCCCTCCAGGAGCTTCCAGCATACAGTATTTAGAAATACTATCTTAAGGCCGGGCGCGGTGGCTCAAGCCTGTAATCCCAGCACTTTGGGAGGCCGAGGTGGGTGGATCACGAGGTCAAGAGATCGAGACCATCCTGGTCAACAAGGTGAAACGTCGCCTCTACTAAAAAAAAATACAAAAATTAGCTGGGCATGGTGGCGCGTGCCTGTAGTCCCAGCTACTCAGGAGGCTGAGGCAGGAGAATTGCCTGAACCCAGGAGGCGGAGGTTGCGGTGAGCCGAGATCGCGCCATTGCACTCCAGCCTGGGTAACAAGAGAGAAACTCCATCTCAAAAAAAAAAAAAAAAAAAAGAAATACTATCTTAAACAGTAATGTTTTATAATGGTTTGGCCTGTCCTGATAATGGTTTCTTACTATTGCTAAGAGGGACAGTGGAATTTCACTGTAATTTTTTTACTCTGTTAAGTAGAATTCAACTCTGTCAAGTTTCTTTAGGACAAAAATAACCTAATTATCTTTTGCCTTCCTGTGTAATACTCATGCAATCTGGATTTAAACAGTAGTTTTATGCTGACTTTCTAATATAAATCCAGATTTTCTTTTATTACGTTTATGAGAATTTAATTTAGAATTAAATTAGTTAATATTAGTTAATTTATCCTGGCATTTTTCTGTTGTGTCAAGTAATTTTCCAAAGAATCTCTTTGTTTAGAACATATGAGTGTGCCAGGCGAATCTTTACATTTTAACTAGGTTAGACCTTTGTGTAATTTTTTTTCTATGTAATTGAGCTTTGTTTTATTAATCTGTTAGGATGCAAACAAACTTGAACTCAGTTTTTAACCACACCTCAAGTGTGTATTTGTGTAGTGGTGGTAGCCTTAGATGTGTCTGGAATATTGTAGATCGCTAAATATTAATGATGGTGGACTTAGAATCCCTTTCATCTTGTCTTAAGTAGGTTGGATATTCCAGTTGCTACTTTGCTTTACTTTGGGAAATAATCAAGGGGGAGGTACAGTAGAGTAGTTACTATTAAGCTTTAGTTCATAATTGGACTCTGTTCTGTCCTTGCTCTACTGGTGGCCTTGAGTTTTATTCATCTGTAAAATGGATAACCACATTGATATAATACGGCTGTTGTGAAAATAAAGCTATATAATACATGCAGAATGCTTTACATTGCACATAGTACAGCTCCAATAAATATTAGCTGTTATATTTTGAAATTTTCACTCTTTATTTCTCTGAAATCAATTCTAAATTTTGAGTTGTGACTTTAGTAATTCTCATATTAAATTGCTTTGATTTAACATTTTAGGTATAATTAGGTGCTGGACCTAATAACAGAATTGCAGGAATTACCCAAGAGAATTGTTAAAAACTGAAAACTTATATTGACCAGACTGTGGTGTTACAGACTGTAGTATGACATACATTACCAGAAATCAAATTGTGTGTGTGTGTGTGTGTGTGTGTGTGTGTGTGTGTGTGTATTTTGTTTTTTTGAGACAGTCTCACTCTATTGCCAGGCTAGAGTGTAGTGGTGCAATCACGGCTCTCTGTAGCCCCAACCCCCTGGGCTCCAGTGATTCTCCCACCTCTACCCCCACCAAGTAGCTGATACTATAGGCACATACCACCACGCCTGGCTGATTTTTAAGTTTTTTGTAGAGTTGGATTTTCACCACGTTACCTAGGCTGGTCTCAAACTCATGGGCTCAAGTGATCTGCCTTGGCCTCCCGAAGTGCTGGAATTATAGACATGAGCCTCCGTACCTGGCCAAATTGTGTTTTTTTTAAGGGCAGAGATAAACTGACTTACCCTAAACCAGTTTGTTTACTTTACAACTTTTATTTTAGGTTTTCTTAGGAGCATATTTACTTGCTTGATTCTGAACTATTAATTACTTCATTTTAGATCTTTTAAAGGTTTAGATTTAGCATTGGTCCCTGCTGTTGTTGGGCTTACCAGCTCAGAGAGATGACATACCACTCATCCAATATTGAATAAGAATGTGTCATAGGAACAGTGCAGAGTGCTGCTGGGTAATATAAAAAGAAATGGGCACTGTATCCAATCTGGAAATGACAAGCTGGGGCTAAAAGACAGGAGGATAGAAAGAGCATTCTTCCAGACAAAAAACAGTTTATTTGAATGGTCTAAGGTGGGAACGATCATGGTAGGTTCCAGAAACTGAAAATTCCATGTTGAGCATGGAAAGCAAGAAGAGAGAGAGACCTAATGCACAGCCAAAGATGCAGATAGAGGCCAATTTATTGATGGACCTTTTATGTCTCTTGATATTATTTTTAGATGTGGACTTTCTCTTGAGGACAAAAGGGAATCAATAAACAGTTTTAAGTAGGGAATTAAGAGCATCACCCTAACTTTGTATTTACGGAGAAAGGGAGACCTCTTGAGTTAGGAGGCTCTTGTAATTATTGTTGATGGGAGCTTGGACTGTGGTAGTATCGATCATGGAAAGAAGAGGACCAGTTTGAGAGAGATTTAAGAGGGAGAATTAACAGTACTCAGTGCTTGGATGCATATGGGTGATTGGAGAGGAACAAGTTTCAAAGGTGACTCCTGGGTTTCAGGTTTGAGGCATTGGTGTGGTGGGATGCTGATCCTGTTTACTGAGATAAGGGAATTGTGGAGGAAGAGCAGATTATGAGTTCAATTTTGGCTATAAGTTGAGGTACTTTCTTTTCTCTGTTATTTGCATCTCTTTGCATTCATCTGACTTTTTGATAGCTTATGAAAGAACAGGAAGAGACTCATGCTTCACTTGGGCCTTTGTTTAATTATACTTTGCCATTTTCACCCCACTTCAAACACTTAAGGGTTATAACACTCCAACAGTAACTGTGGCTCACTATGTTGATAGTTCTCGATGAAATAGGTTGAGAATCAATAGAAAAGGCAAATAGAGCTATGTGTGTAAAAGTTGGGAAGATGGGGTAGAGGGTGTTACAGAGGGAGACAAAACTAAAATCACAGTTTTCAAAAATATCAATTATTCCTTGTTTTCAGGGTCATTGGCTCAGTAATAGTTCAGAAGATGCAAATGAAAGTTAATACTGTGTTCCTCTTGAGCTTTGCTATTTAGACCAGTGGTTCTCGAAATGTGGTCCCTTGACCAGCAGCAACATCATCTGGCAATTTAAAAATGTTAAAAATGCAGATTCTTATGTTCCACTCCAAAAGCTATTCATAAACTCTGTTTTAACAGGTCCTTCAGGTGAAGGACCCAGCATTTTGAATACCTCTATGAAATGCTAGCACACTCTAGCATTTTGAATACCTCTTGTCTGGATTCAGCAGACTTTCTTGGTAAAAGGCCCAATAGTAATTATTTTAGGCTTTGTGGACCATAGGTCTTTGTGGCAACTACTCAGCTCTGCCCTTGTATTGAGAAAGACGCCACAGACATCATGTAAACAAATAAACATGGCTGTTTGACTAAAATTTTATTTACAAAATGGACAGCAGGCACGTTTGGCCCAAAGTCTATAGTTTGCAGACTCTGGTCTAGACTCCAGACAAATAGGGTAGTTATTGCCAGGATAAATGACATGTTAATGAAAATACAGAAGTTGGAAGTCAATCTGAGTAGCTTATTATTATAGTAATAATCGTTTATATAAAATATTGTTTATTATTTTAAGGAAATAAACCAGTACTCTTTTTTTGATTGTTGATTTTTAAAATTTTCATCTTTAGTTATTTTGCCTTTCCCCACCGGGAAATAAGTAATCTTTGTTTTAGTATAAAACATACTCTCATTGCTAAAGATTTCAAACATCACAAAAATCAGGACAGAAGATAGATCTCCATTGATCCTCCAAGCCCTTGACCCAAATACAGCATTACAATTTTGATGACTGTTTTTGAGTTCTTTCTGTATATTACTGTTTTCACTATCAATTTTTTAAATATATGATTTTTAAAAAATTATTTACTTGGTAAGTGATTTTTCAAATTATGTAATTATAACTTAGTTTTTTCTCGTTTCTTTGAAGGTTGTTTTGGAAACCGAAATAACAAATAAGTCTGCTTTGAAACTTTATGAGAATCTTGGTTTTGTTCGAGATAAGAGGCTGTTCAGATACTATTTAAATGGAGTTGATGCACTGCGACTTAAACTGTGGCTACGTTGAGAAACTGACATCAAGGAACAACTTTC